GGGGGGAGAACAAGGGCAAGCAATACCTTCATTAAACAATCAAAATCGCACTTACAGATAATCTTCTGAGGCCTGAATGATTCTTCATACAGAGCTGGCTGTTCCTAGTTATGTACTGGAGGTCTGAAATCTGCTATCTCAAGCTGGTTTTTACAAGACCGAATACTCCATTTTGGACATTAATTTTTGGGACTCGTGCGTCTTCCCCTAGCCAAGTCTGCTCTGTAATCACTAGACTGATGAGGGAGGGCCCTGACAGAATTCAAAACCTTATTCATTTGTGAGATTTCAGAAGTCCAATAAATGTACTAGCCATCCTTGTTTTCAGATTGTACATAAAAACACACACAGCTTTTTTTTTCTTTTTTAAAGTCAAGAATGGAAAGGCAAACAGGGACTACTGAAGAGCAAAAACGTCTTGTCAGTGAAAGCAGGTTTGGTTCTGAGGAAGTTTAAACATTTGGCTGTACAGAGTAAAACTCAATACCAGGCAGCTACTCAGCCACAGATCGTTTTTTCTTCCCGGGCATACAAGGAAAATGGTGGGCCTTATTTTGATAATTACAGCTGAAAAGGAATAACCAGCCTAATCCTGTGGGCCCCAAGTCATTAGAAAAGCAAAGCGTGCTGCTTATATACTGCCCCATAGCACCTAAAGCACTGTTTGGGCAGTTCATAATTTAATTTTGCAGGCTACACACGGCCTCTGCCACCAGCAAGCTGGGTACTCAAGCCGGCTACCTGGGATTGAACCTAGGCCGTGAGCAGAGCTTTAGCTGCAGTACTGCAATTCAACCGCTATGGCAATAGGCTCCTTAAATAAGTATACCAAACGATGGACACCACAGAGATGTACAGTGTCAGACACATTCATAGGCTCCTAAATTCAGTGGAGTTCAAAAAGACAAGAAATTTAGAACCTGATTTAGCTGTTTGGTAGTACTTAGCAGAAAGAAGTGACAGGAAGTGAAACAAGTAAGCTAAATATTTCCCGAAGAGTAGCTTTCGCCATCCAGGACAATGTTCAGATTGCCCAGTGTCTCCAGCCTAAGAAATAAGATACAACAAATGTAACAAAAAAGGTTTATTGGGAATCCACGAAGTGGAAGGCAGTGACTAGGTATTTCAACGTAATGCTTTCAAATCCTCTTCCCTTTTCTCACTGGGAATCTTATTAGAGTCCACCAAGTATCATTGGCTGCTCATGCAGTGGAGCAGAAGGTCTTCATTAAACAAGCCCAGGACCTATAAGAGGAAAAAATGAGAGACGATGAAGGAAGTGTTATGTTTACAATGGGCAGGTGGCAAGAAATGGAAAATTCACATGCTGTATCCACAGTAACTCCAAACCAAACAACCCTCCCAAACAATTTAACTAGAACTAAGTGGGTGTCAAAATAGCAAGACAAACACAATCACTTTTTAATCTGCTATGGGGGGGGGGGAATCTCACCCTAAACTACTCATTTTCAATCTACTCAGTGGCCATCCAGTGATATAGCTCAGATTGTTCTGATCTTTATGATTAAAAATATAAACCTAATTAGAGATGGGCACAAAGTAAAATTCGGCAGTTCCATGGACACTGCACGGTTCCCTCCACTGCCTCTTCTGTACATACTCTTCTGTATGTATTGTTTTCTGTAATGTTAGTGCATTATTCCAAACATCCTAACCGAGTTACCATTCTCAAATAAGGGACACACCTCAAAAGAAGAACAGCCAGCATATTTTGCAGTAACAAACTTAACTCTTCCTTGAAACCACATGCCCACATCCCAACCAGTCACACTTACCTCCAGGTCTCCTTTATCAGCCTACAAAGTTGATGACAACCAAATGCAGGATGGTGCTGGCAAAGAGGAAGTCAGCAAAGGCCCGTTCTGGCGAAATTCCCTGGAACTCCCCCTTGTTTTGGGGGTTGATTTGAATCCGCAAGCAAACTACAGAGAAAGGGAGAAAACACACACACTGTAAAATACTATGAAAACACTGGTGCCAAGAGGGCTTCGGAGGGAGGGCCACCATTCCACAAGGAGGATGCATCTGCAGAGAAAACCATTTCCCATGACTTCACGTAATGCACGGTCTTCACTGGTACAACCCAAGGACTTATCTGGAAGTTCTTGATGGGTGGACAAGCACCCAGAGGAAAAGGTCCTCTTTCAGATACTGAGGGTTTCCATGATCACAATCTGAATGACTGAGAGTGGCAGCAGCTGTTCTTTTAGAATCGCTTTCGTATGGTTTCTATCAGGCTTTCCCAGCAGCAGTCTAGTTGACGCTTATTGCTCAAGATGCACAGTCTCCAAGGGCAGCCCTACAAAGAGCACCTAGCAGTAGTCCAAGTACCAATCTGCCGGTGTGTTAACTACTACAACCCAGGTCACACTCAGACTGGCCCAGGGGGTTCTTCAAGCCACTGAGTTCATCTGAGCCCCAGTGACACAGTTATAAACTGGCTCCTTCAGAGGATGCAATCCGGAGGAGAACCAAATGTATGCCTAGAAGCCACATCCCTTGGAAAAGGAGTCTTGCACATCTTGCCCTAGCAACGGGCGGTTGCCACGTCCCTCCCCACCTCACCCCCCCATTTCACGTCACCATGGCGACCGCACCAGCTCCACCCTCCTCCAGGGCTGGGCCACTAAGAGGTTGCCAGGTGAGCTGCTGGACCCCGGTTGCCATAGCAACGACAGGCCTCGAGCGGCTCCGCCCTCGCCTGACGCCGACGGGTTGCCGTGGCGACGGCCGCGCACGCGCAGAATCCCACCTCTTCCTCCCTCATTCTCCTCAAGCTAGGTAGCGTGACTTGATTTGGGGACTACAACTCCCAGGTTTCCCTCCTGGCGGGTTCTGAGGGGTGGGGTGGGGTTTGTAGTCCCGGACGGTTTCCGAGCCCTGCCTCGGCCACTCACCGCCCAAGATGAAGCTCCCGACGGCGGAGATGAAGCCCGAGAGGAAGGAGTTGAAGGGGAAAGTGCCGACGCCCAGGCAGTAACCGAACTGCAGCGCCCCCGTCAGCATGACGTAGAGCAGGTAGGCGTCCAGCACCTTCAGGCGGCTCGGCGTCCCGCTGCTGTACTCGGCCAGGAAGCGCCGCACCACCGAGCCCACCGAGCTGGCCCCGGAGCCCGACGACCCGGAACCCGCGCCCGACATACCGACGGCTTTCGAAAAGGGAAGGGGGCGTCTGCTTTCTGCGTGCTAGCTAGCCGCACTGAGTGGCCGGAAGCGAGGAAAGAACTTCCGGGGTCAGTCTGTAGAGAACGCATGCGCGGGAAGAGGGCTTCCTGCAAGACGCATGCGCGCTGATCGACTCGTTTGCTCAGCAGCCACGTCTAGTCCGGGCAGATATCTCCGCATGCGCGTTGTATTCCCCTGACTGGGGAAGCGCATGCGCCGAATCCTGTTTGATCGTAAGGCGGTCCCATTGGCGAAATAGGCTGCCTCTTGCGCATGTGTAGTACACTCATCCATACGCATGCGCCTTGTAGAAGGTTGTGGAAGCGGGGGTGGCAGTGACTATTTTAAAGTTTCGAGAACATGCATGAAGTTGTTGTTTAGCCGTGTCCGAAGTACGCATGCGTATTCCATCTGGAGTCGAACAAGCCTGCCTGATTAAAATTATAAACATAGTGGGGGAATGCGCATGCGCGTTCAGATCTCTCTCTCAGCCTACAGGTAAAATAGAGCTTGCGCTTAAAAAAAATTGAAACCGTGTATGTTTGTGTGCAGCACGTCCTAATCTTGCATCCCATATAATGCATCCGATGACATTTTGATTCTGCTATTTACTGATCATCCCGTAAATTGATTTCCCCCTCCCTTAAAATCACCGAACAACAGAACATTAATACAATACAATCTATTGTTATTTTTAATATGTGCTTTTAATGAAATAAACTTTTCATAGTAAAGCGGGGGTAGTAAAGCACACTGCGTATGCTCAGAAACACCCCTTTGCTGATGCACGGCTTAAAAATAATGTCAATAAATGAATGCAAACAGAAGAAAGCGACAGAAAGAAATAGTAAGATTCCATGGTTAAAATCAGGGGGCGGGAGGGGGTCCTCTTTTATAACTACGACTCCCAGCTTCTTCAAGTGCCTGGGGTATCATGAGAAATGATGATGATGATAATGATGTTCCATACAGAGCACATTACCATAGTCTCTCGAGACTGAAGGCTACCTAATCAAATAAAAAATCGTGGGGAGGAGGAAAGGAACTTTTCCAAACTCTTCCGATCCTCTTTGTTTGGCTGTTTTTATTTTTGCCCCCTTTTTATTTTGAAAGCCATTCCTGCCTTGTTTTTTCCAGCGGCTCCTCCTCCAGCCATCAATCATCCGGGTCAGGCCCCTCCCCTCTTTATGATGCTCCGCCCACATCAAGGAAGGAAGGAGCCCTTTTCTCCTCCTCCCCCCTCCTCTCTCGCTCTCCTCCACCCCTCCCATTCCATCATCTTCCATCCCTAGCCAAGCGGAGGGGGGCTGTGGCGCTGTTTTTTTCGGCGCTTCCTGTCCCCCCTCCCTCCTCCCCTCGTCCTTACATAACCCACCAGGAAGGTTATACAACCGCCTTTTTCTCCGCCCCTTCCAGCCATTCATAAAATGTGAACCACGCCCCGTTCTCGGCCGCGTAGCCCCGCCCCCCGCGTTCCAAGCCCCGCCCACGCCCGCTCCTTAAGACCCGCCTTTCGAACCAGCTGTTGTGATGTAGTCCTTTCTTGGGGGAAGTCATGGAGGAAGACCTGGAGCCGTCGTGAGTCCGGGGCTGAATTCGGTTTTAGTGGATTAAATCCGGATTAAATCCGGATTGAGAGCGATTTTTTCCCCCTCCACCTGGATCTTTTCCAGAGTAGGGAGGGGAAGGAATTTGGGGGAGAGGAAACCGGGGGGTGGTGGTTGGAGTTTGTAGAGAGTTAAGATTTGGACCCAGAAGTGGGTTAGGAGGGAAG